TTCTATATATTCTCTAGTTCTATAATCATAGGGATATCATCATTCTACATAGTCTCTAGTTCAACAATCATAATATCCATCATTCTATATATTCCCAAGTTCAACAATCATAGAAATGTCCATCATTCTATATAATATCTAGTTCAACAATCATAGGGATATCCTTCATATGTAGAACAAAGCTACCATTACCGCCTGGAATGAATTGGGCATCTTAACTCAATGTCTATACTTTATTTTAGAAGTTGTCAGAGTGATATATGAATGATTGAATCTTGTGCACCTGAGCAAATTATGAAAATGAAGGTTAGTTGTCTTTTATAAGAAAAACCTAGTTATCACAGTTGGTTCGAGATTACCATTATTTATTAAAATCAGCAACAATTTTTGATTTTTGAATGTATTACTGGCACGGGGCTGGGGCACTTCTTTTAGGCACATCTACAATTTTTGCTTACATGAGACGCTGAAAGGCACATTTTTCATTGACTTAAAGAAATAATTCACTTCTCATTGAAACATTTGATATTGTTAAATTGTAAGTCAACATGCCACACAAAAGATATATTTATGTCATTATCATGAAATCAACAAGAATAGCTAATTATGCAAGGGATTTAACACACTTCATACGAGTATTTGATACATCAATATACCTCTATTTATATTCAATGAACAATATCTGATAAGAATAAGAAATATAGGTAAGAACATTGTTATTTGAGTAAATAGTAACACATAAGAACTGGTAATAATGGAAAGAGTCTCATATTGGTTATATTTTTCATTCATTTGCAATTTGCTTTGCATATAGCATCTGTTACTACCGGTCTATTTTGAGCTTGAATTCAATGAAATAGTGTTTGGACAAAAGCTTTGTGGGTTTTTCTTTGCTAGAATAGATCATAGTAGGTAATGAGGTAAAGCAGATGTCATTATACAAAGTTTACTGCTGTTAAAGGCATAGAATCACTCAATCGGGCCCGGTCTGAAAGAACATACAAGAAAGTAGTACATATTTAAAAAAAAAGTCCCTATACGCATATCTGTGACTTTCTTAATAAGTAAACTATTTGGGTATAATTCTGGCATGAAATGAACGCTTAAGGACCTAAGATTACTGAAGAACCCTTGAAGAAAGTTTCTTATTGATGATATAAAGATATATGAAATTATGATAAGAGGGCATATTTGCCCTGTTGTTTAGATCAGTACCGGTTTTTGTACTACTTAACTTCTCAGAACCAGTACTCTCTAATATGCAATTAGAGGTATGTTGAATTTTTCAGCACAAGTCAGGGTCAAGTATATTGTTTACATGAAATTAGTGCCATTTTATTTGACCTTAAGACAAAATAGCTATGAATGCTTGAAATTGCAGAATTTTACGTAGTACGCAATTAGGCTATGCATGAGTGTTGTTATTCAAGTAGAGGTTCTAACATTTATCGTTTTTGAGAAGCTATCTTGAAAAATTAATAATTAATACCTTTGATTCGTTTGAAGTGCAAAGTATTTTAATCGGCAAACCCAAAACCAAAGACAACAAAGATTATAAACATTGTTTCCAATAACTACTAGTATGTTAAACAGCGTGTCTATTCATGGAAGTGCGATGGCGAGTAAGATTGGCATTTTTGTCGTAATAAACAAAATTCATTTGTCATACAACAAAAACAAAGTGAATAAAAGATAAACTATATCAAACTAACTCACAAAACATAAATCAAATATGAAGATGAAGAACAAAACTTTTGGAAAAAGAATGTCTGAAACTAAACTTTAATTTGACGGAAAATAAAACATATCTCAAAAGCAAACACATAGAAAAAACCGTCCCAAAATAGTCAAAATTCCATATGCCATTGGTGGGATAATAAAATCAGTTTAGCTGTTTTCCTGATAATTAGTATTATCAATTCAGAAACATAGAAAGGCTTCCAAATTCAATTGGGCATACATGTTCCTTTAAAATCATATATCTAAGTTGTGCAAAATATAAATATTGGTAATTCATAGTTACAGATAAGGAGACTGGATACATCTTATTCGCTTTTTTCCCATTTTTTTAGGGGGGTTGCAAACGAGAGTATTTTATTGACTGAAACACAGTAAAACCAAAGATATGTTTAGTAATTTTCTATCGAGTATATATATCATGCTGTAACCGATAAATGATTAGTCAGCAACAGTGCTCTAAGTTCTGGTATTCAAGTGTTTAAACAAAGACACACAAAGAAGGTAAATTTTTGTAGTACTTTATCTTCTGATAGAATATTTTTGTTTTTTTAATTGTTCTTAAGAAACTATGTACTTCTATTTACACCGAAACACGATACTAAACTTTGTTGTGCCATTGAAAGAAAACAGTACAATCTGCTAACAAGGAAACTATTCAGTTGAACAAAAACAATACAATCTTCTAACAAGGAAACAACTGTATCGTGACAGTATGACACCAATGTCGGTGATTATATCTAGTGTTATATTCCATTTAAACGATATTTTACTTTGGATTGTCCGTAAACGTGATTTTCACTGTAATCATTTACATCTAGAATGTCTGTCTTTGAATAGGTTACATCCAATTTGAAGTGTAAATTATAGAGAATAAAGACGCAAATATTTTCAACAATTTTAGCCTTCATGTTAAAGTTGACAAGAAAGAACATTTATAACAAAACAAAACCAGATCATACAGTTGCTAATAGATATTTCAAACCTTTAACGAATTCTGAATTCAGTCTTCTCTTCGCATACACTAATTTTTTTGTGAAGATTGTAATCTAAAGTATTTTATTGTTTACCGGTATTTTTTTTTTTTTTAATTTCATATTTGATTTTTAATTTATCGTTTTCATTTTCTTAAAATTTGAGAACAAAAAACGGTGTTGAATGATATTGAAAAATACATTTGATTCGAATATCATAATATAGTATAATGATTACACTTGAAAGTGTGTTGATTGTGTATTAGGTATGATAAATTATAAATATTATATAACTTGACGATAGAAGCGGTGCAGCATTAAACTTTTATGTTAAAATGGGCATATGACATGGCACGAAAGACTTATTTCTTACCTACACTTATTCAATGCTGGTCTTAGACAGTAATACGTATATAAAGAAAAGGATTAAAGGAATTGTGATTACTCGCTCTGCAACACCTCATTCTGTCATGTTTTTTTCTAAATTAATGAATAATTCATTATGGTGCAACCACGCATCTACGAACCATACAGAAAGTGATGTGTGCATGACATTTTTCAAACACATTACTTGAAATTTGCGGCGGCAAAGTGCAATTTATGTTCAGAGACAAATGATTGGAAAATGGTATTTATAAGTCTTAAATCACAAGTTATAATAGTTATAATGGCAACTTTTTTTATCATTTGATAGGCTTTTACTTTTCTTAATAAATAACGCGTTAAATTCACAACAAATATGTTTCAAATGACAATTAACTACTGTCAATTCAGAAATGGCTGCATTCTTCATTATTGCGATAATAGCAACGAGGTAAGTTTCGCAAAAATATAAACTTACACATTTTATTATGATAATATTGTTTGTTTTCAGAATTGTCCGTTTAATAATACATTATTTTCTCATTTTAGTCCATCGTTTAACAACCGCATTTCTAAAACCATGCCAAAATTCTCTTAATTTACGCACAGTACAAAAAGGGCCACCACAATACTATTTTGATAAAGTTTGATTTATACGTTCCTAGCTTTTAAAAAAACGAACATCACGAAGACGCGAATTCTTTTTTGTCAATGTTATTTTATAGAAGTCAGTAACATCGCCGTATTATTTCTCAAACAGTTTTTGTTCACTGCATATATTTAGTGATCACAAATCCATGTAAATGAATTATGTTTTGGTTTACCAAAATTACCAAAAGACCTTGTAAAACAAAATGATTTCATAGCTTGTTTCTCTTGCTGTTGATTTCACATGCCATAATATCTATTATTCTTAGTAAGGTTAGCACCATACTTTCCTTAAATGTTCGAAATTAACATGATCAGTGCTCTTTTCTTTTTTGTTTTTTCAGATAAAATGGACGACGTAAGCATGATAAAAATAGACGGCGTAATTTGTTTTTTTATGATAGAATAATCATCAAATGGGAGGCGCTTTTTGTATAAAAATATTCTTTGTAAACGATAGACACATTTTAATCAGTTGTATGTGTTGATTGAATGGGATTGGTATAAAGTACGAATTTTTCCACAAAAGCTTAAATGTTTCAATAAATTTGAAATAAATGCACTTTTTGCTGCTTAACACCTTTATGTTGACTTTATACCTGTCTTAAAAGATTCAGGGCATAAAATGCTAAATCTCTTATGTTTTCTTATTTCATATTTGTGCAATAGCAAAATATTCATAAGCCTAAGGGCAATGTGTTTGTGTTTGTGCAGCAAATTATTAACGTTAACAAGACAAACGTTACAAAGAATCATCAAAATCGGACATAATCCACTGTTTCCCACAGTCCCTACTACACAGAGAAAAACCTGTTTAGAATGGGTATATTCAACAGTTAATGGCATTTTTGTAAAACAGAAAACTAAACCCTTACACATCGTTTTCATAGTTATAACATTATAAAGGTTGTTTGGGAATATATTTGTTGTACCTACAATGCATAATGTGCTGAATAACACTGCAGTTATTCAATGAGGGGAAGATTTTGTCACACTAGGAATGTACAATAAAAATTGGAAAACAAATAAAATGTCAATAACAATACCACATTTAGTATAATCAAATGTGTTATATGGAAATGTCGAAATTTAATCAAACAAAAGCCTTAATAGTATGACTTCTAGCCAATTGATGTCATATAAGCGAAACGGGAGCTCTACAATTTAATTGAATCAATAGATACGTCATTATCTTTACAAAAGGAAAAATATGCAGTTAACATCAAAGTTATTGTTAACCCTATACCATAAATTATTTACTTATCATATTGTACTTACCTTCTTTTCATATCTGGAACATTATAAATCCCCAAAAGAAATAACCACTATTAAAAGAAAAACATCGGGCACATCACTGACAGTCACATTACGACGTACTGCAGGTTTTAGCTAAACAAAACATTTAAATGGCAATTATTAGTAAAGGTAAAGCGAATAAGATTGTAGTGTGTCTTTTGTTGTATTTTATGACTTTAAAAGATCTTTGTTTGATTGGGTTTTTTTGTGTAATGAATAGGAATATAACTAACGCACTTAATTTAGAAACACTACTTGTTTTATATCGTTGAACCCTGGACGATGGAGTATTGTAAACACTGGCCCCTGGGATTTCAACAAATTTATTTCCGTTTAAAAAAAACAAAAAAAACAGTGTAATTACTTTCGCATTTTAAACATTCTATTTCATGAATTCTAATTATTAAATAACTAGTAGAGATTCTGGTTTCATGTAACAATTTTGTACTGGCTTTTTTCTCCTTTTCTTTTTTTACGATCAATGCATTTGAATGGGGACATATAGTTGGAACACCCCCCCACCTTTATCCTGGGTTAGGAATCCCCTTTTATAAATGGCATTACGTAGGCTAGTTTAAGGTCTCTTTTGGTCATACAGCTCTGCATGTGTTTAGGTTTAATACATCCTTTACCCCGAAGGTATCATCAACATAGTAGTCAGTGCGTCATTTATATTACACAAAATGTATAACATGAAGTGTATCTTGTTGTTTTCATTAACGTTAGACGTGTATTTTTCTGATATAGTATCTCATATAAAAATAAAAAGATGTGGTAAAATTGCCAACGAGACAACTCTCCACAAGAGACCAAATGACACAGAAATTAACAACTATATGTCACCGTACGGCCATCAACAATGAGCAAAACACATACCGGACAGTCAGCTATGAAAGGCCCCGAAATGACAAATGTAAAACATTTCAAACGAGAAAACTAACGGCCTAATTTATGTACAAAATAATGAACGAAAAACAAATATGATATACAGCAACAAACGACGACCACTGAATTACAAGCTCCTGATTTGGGACAGCCACATACATAATGTGGCGGGGTTAAAGATGTTAGCGGGCGCCCAACCCTCCCCCTAGCCTGGGACAGTGATGTAACAGTACAACATAAGAACAAACTATTAAAATCAGTTGAAAAAGGCTTAACTCATCAAATGGATACAAACAGAAATATATATAACAAAAACAGTGGACGTGGGAGGGAACTCATACATCCCCACAACAAAAAGATACTAAGTACATATCTGAGAGTACTTGCAGTTACTAACAGCTAGTTCAAAGCCAATAACAACAAATAAAAAATCATGCATCTAAGACTAAAATATCAATCAGTACTCATCCAACATCCAATGGATTTAGTGTAAAGACGTCATTAACAGTCAGAGAAAAACATGACCTTGTACAACCAAACTTCAAAACCAAATGTTTATATCCATGGAAGAATTGAGTAAAGGTTTTAAGTAATTTGTGGTAACGAAATCCCGGACTTAATAATTTACCAGTAATATATGGATAAAGTTCATTGAAATCCAAAACGTCACAACAGACACGGGCATAGCGAACGAGTTGTGATATATAAACACAGTAAGATGGTGCCAAAGTAGCATCATCGTCCAAAAAGGAAAATTAACAAAAGGAACGAAAATTCGTCCCTTTTGTTGTAAATTTTAGTGTAGAGATTCCCGTGTAAAACTGAAATATCTAAATCTAATAAAGAACAGTTATTATCGTTTATATTTGATTTATTCAAAGTAAGTTCCTTTGGGTAAATTTCGGCAGTATATTTATAAAATTGTTGGTTATTTAACGACAAAATAACATCAAAATAACGGTAAGTGTTGTTGAATTTATCAATTAAATGCAATTTAGACGGGTCTTTACTGAGTAAGGTCATAAACTGTGATTCATAACAATACCAGAGCAAGTCTGCTAGTAAAGGGCCGAAATTGGTGCCCATTGGAATACCTACAACCTTTCGATAAACTTTAATGCCGAAACGTACATAAATATTATCAAGGAGAAAATTGACAGCTTCAATCATGTCAACACACCCCTAGTAAGTACATTTAGCATATTTACCTTTCTCATTAGAGAAGAAGGCTTCAAATGAGTTGCAGCAAATATATTTGCATTCGGATTTACCAAACGACCATTGGATTAAATAGGAAAACTTTTGTTTGATAAGATTATGTGGTAGTGTAGTGTAAAAAGTTGAAAAATCAAAACTGTCAACAGAATCAAAAGGACCATCAAAAGCACGTAATTTATCTAAAACTTCCAATGAATTTTTTACACTCCAAAAATAGTTAATTCCACTATTTTCATATATTTTATTACAACAGTTACTGATTAGTTCTTTGATAGTAGTTAAGGAACTAGTTAAAGAATTAAAAGATTAGTTGTAGAACACTTACTAGAGGCCGAGATGAAACGATATGTTACTGGTTTTTTTGTGTAGTTAAGGTAACCAATACATAGAAGGGACATTCAAATGTTCAGAAGAGGCCTTAAGCTGTGATTTGGTTATGATATGATTGTTTACTATATGACTCTCTGTGGAGCGCACGGACTTGAATGTAGAAGAATTTAAAATGTCATTCTTAAGAAAGTCCGTGTAGTATTTACGACCACCACATTGTTGGTTTCTTTGTCGGCAGGTACAAACACAAACCTCTTTGAAAGTAATTGAAGTTTGTTTCTTATTCTAGAAATAGCCGTGTTATGTACTATTTTATTTATTTCTGAATTATTTTTCAAATTTAATATTCGAATATCCACAACAATCATACATTTATTTAGATAAGAATCAAGAGATTTTTTATTATATTTTTCCCGTTTACACCAATTTTTACAATATGACGAAAGAGCGTCTGTTGTGACCTGACGACACTGTTTCCAATCTAATTTTGATGAAGGACGATATTTTGGTCTTTTTTTTAAACAATATTTAACCTCTCTGTCTTCAACGATATTCAGGTCCCCAGTAATAACATGGCCATAGGGATCATATCTAAAATTCGACGATTCACAGTCTCAAGTTAGAGGAGTATTATTTTCTACACTGACGTCTGATGTTACTGACGTATAATTAAAATGACTCTTCTGCTGGGTTTTTTGTATGTATACAAAATAATAGGTGGTTCTGTGTTATCAAAATAGGGAGGTATAAAGATTTAAATGGTAGAGTCATTGAATATATACATAAATGCTGTCTGTTGCACTTTAAGTAATGTACGCCACGAAAACTATGGCTTTTTTAATACATTGAAATTTGATAGGATTGTTTTCATTTAAATGTCCGCGATTTTAAACAATAAGGTTGATAAGACAAAATAAATATCTAATGATAACATTACTTTAGTTACATTAAGAATCAGGTGCATATTTCATCAAATCGACTAAAGTTCTGTTGAAAGTAAATATTTTTTTAGGAGTTTTCTAAAATTTTATTTTCAAAGAAATCATTAGATATGAAATAACGTATACTTAAACAGTTTCTATCCAATTTAACATTATTGACAACCATATCAAACTTTTTGTTTGATTCTAATCTGACCATTCGCTAAAAAGGACTATCATTTAAGATATTCTAAATTGCCATTCTTTAATCGTTATCATACTAGCTTTACTGACACCATTGTAATTAGTTGACCAACACGATTAGGTGTTATATTTTAATGGAGAAGAATAACCTTTATAAATTTGGAGCGTCGGAATTTACCTTCATCAGGAACGCTGAAAAAAAAAACATTTAACGGCCAGGGATGTAAACATACGTACACTGTGTACATGGTGTAAGAGTTTATGACCAAAAGGGACCTGAAACAAATACCCAAATTCATCTAAGGTCAAGGTGGTCTGATATATTGATTTACAGGTTGTACTCTTTTCCTTTTGTGATATATTTTACTAAGTCTATATCGACACTTTGAATTATCCATGTAGAGCATTTGATGCTTACATTAATGTATCTTATGGACTTCGGTTCCATCTTTTATATCTCTCGAATCGTTTATTAAAAGTAATTTTACGAGTTTTGACAAGTGGTAACCTACTATTCATCTTATATGTAATGTTACCAAAGTCTACATTAAATATAACAGTGTTGTATGCTATTGTAACATGGTGTTAATTGTGTATTGTTATTTCTGTAATTGGATGGGTCTTGATTAAACTATTGTGTGCGTGAACCTCTGCCTTGATGCGATCTCCCTTTGTGTATGCGGATGATATTTAGCTGTGTGTATATGTGCGGGCAAAGTTGACCTTTGATAGAATTGGTAACTATATGTAGTCCCTTCTGTTCATATAGCTCTTCACATTTTCCATACTTATCTCCTTTTTTTTAGTTTAACTTACATGTAGCTGATGAATTTAAATCCATAAATCAGACGCACTTATCTTTAAAGTTTTATTTCTATACACTGACTGGAACTGAGATGAGTTGATTTAAAATGTTAATGTTTTTTCCTTGAATACATCTGTGTGCGTTCCGGTGGAAAAAAAACATGTAAGATGCGTTATGACTGCCAATGAAACAACTACCCAATAAGACCAAAACACTGAAATAAAAATTTCACAGTTGGCTGATGACACCACTTGTTTTTTGAAAGATGCATTTTCCGCGCAAATTTTATTAGATTCCTTTAACGATTTTGAGAAGTGTTCAGGGTTAAAAGTCATTTTTTCTAAAACCGAAGCAACATGGATTGGAAGAAATAAATTTAACAAAGAAGGTTCCCTTCCTATTAAATGGACAGATGGTTTTAAAACCTTAGGTTTAAAATTTAATGCTTTTGAACAAATGGTTTGTTCTAATTTAGATACATGCATAGAAAAAATGGAATCAATAATTAAACTGTGGATGATAATAAAGATAGTGTCATTTTTAGTGTATTGAATTCTGATAACTTAGTTTTAAATTATTGTATTCTACAGGCAAAGTATTACATTAATTATGTAAAGAACACACAATTAGACAGACTGTTAATATCTGTGCAAGCTTTTCTTAAATTTTTGAAAAGACGTCTGGAGATATTAGAATATTTATATCTTTCTAAAGACAAACACGAGTCATTTGTCGACAGATGGGGGGGATT